AACTCAGTCTTACTAATTCACATGTTTTATCTGTAAATCCTTTTGAAGTTTTTATGTACATAAACATATCATCTGTGAATAACAACTGGCTCATTTTTAATCCTTATACCCTTTATTTCTTTTTCTTTCCTTCCCTTATTAATTAGCGTCTTTATTGCAGTGTCAAATTTTTTAAAAAAGTGGTGATAGCAGGTATACTCCTGCAGTTCCTGATCACAAATAAAAAGCTTTCAATGGATTGTCAGTAAACATTATGCTATAGGCTGCTATATATGCTATAGCACCTACTTTTCTAAGATAAACTAAACTTTCACCCAATTCTTAGTTTACTAAACTTGTTTGTTTGTTTTTTGTTTTACAGTCATGTGTTGTTGAATTTTACCAAATTTTTCTTCATTTATTAAGACAAAAAAAAGTCTGTTTAGTATATAATTTAAATATGATTTTCCTTTTAATCCTGTTGATGTAATGAATTTAACCTTGCCTTCCCAGGATAAACACTTTTAAAAAATATATTGCTGCATTTGGTTTCCTAATATTTTGTTTGGGAGTTTTGCACTTATGAATAAGATTTGTCTGTGATTTATTTTCTCTGATTGTTCTTTTCTTCTTCTTTTCCTTTTTTCAGATACAGACTCTTGCTCTCTTGCCTAGGCTGGAGTGCAGTGGTGCAATCATAGCTCACTTTAGCCTTGAACTCCTTGGCTTAAGTGATCCTGTTGCCTCGGCTTGGCTAATTTTTTATTATTTATTTATTTTGTAGAGGCGAGGTCTCACTTTGTTGTCCAGGCTGGTCTTGAACTCCTGGCTTTAAGCAGTCATCCTGCCACAGCCTCCTAAAGTGTTAGGTTCACAGGCTTGAGCCAATTGTGCTTGGCCTCTGACTGTTCTTATTAGGTTTTGGTATCAGAGTTATGCTAATTAGTTGCTTAAAGTTAGTTGGGAAGGATTCCCTTGTTTTTCATTTCTTGGACCTATTTGTATGACAAGAGAAATATTTCTTCCTTTATTTGTTAGGGCTTACTAGTAAAGCCATCTAGACTTGGATATTTTTCCTTGTGGAAAGATCTCTTGATAATTGATTTTGTTTTCTTTTTTTTTTTTTTTTTTTTTTTTTTTTTTTACTTTTTTTTTCTTTTTTGGAGTGCAATGCCGGGATCTCGGCTCACCGCAACCTCCGCCTCCTGG